TCCGGTACAAGTAACACGACATTTGTCGCGTCAATGGAAAACTTCAGGAAGCGTCTGAAAAGGTCCAATCCTGGGTTACTTACCACAGTGGAAACCCAGTATGACGATGTTCCCGGTATAACGATGTCCCGGAAAAAGTTACAGTAAAATGTATGGGACAGAACCCCGATATCAACGATCTTCAGTCTGATAACGATTATATTCCGATAAAACGACGATCGAGAATTCAGTGGACGGACCGTAAAATCCTTCCCGATATAACGATATCAGTTATCAGTACACTGTGAAACGTCGAGTGTGCAATGAATTTTAAGCAAATCTCACACTTTTGAGGGCCGGTGCCCAGCGAGATTTTAGCACAGCAATATGAGGCTCATCAAAGGATGTACTAGGCTTTTTAAAAGTGTGCGTATTTTCAGCTCTTCAGTGCCAGTGCATTGTGGATCCCTATATCAATCCGCCATTCAAAGTTCGCTTCGCGTACCAAACGTGTGATATTACCATACTATTGCCTAGCTACCAATTAACAATTCTCAAAAACACCAATGACAACAGCAAAACGACCACCAACAACATTTTAACTCGAAGGATTAGGCATGCAGCAAGCTAAATTTATAAGCAATTTAAGACAGTACCACACAATCAATTTTTCAAAAACAGCAAAACAACCACCAGCAACATTTTAACTCGAAGGATTAAGCATGCAGCAAGCAACAATTTATAAGCAATTAAAGACCACACAATCAATTTTTCAAAAAGTTTTTTTAAACATAACGTAAAGCCCACAAATAAAACACACAAAAAACCAAGGTTACTAAAACTATGTAAAGGGTTAGTAGTAAGAATAAAGGGAAACAAGCCAAAGAGAAAAAAAGAGGATTAAAACAAAAACTAAACAGAAAAAAATTGTGCAACAAAGAAAACAACTTCGTCGGGAGTCGAACCTAGTTCACCCGCACGTGCAAGCAACTCCTAGAGTGATCACTGCGCCACGCGGTTCCACTCATTATGAGTTTATGACCTTGCTGGTCCCGTTAAGAAGATAGCGATCCCGCAACACAGCTCGCGACACAAACTAACAACTCAATTAAAGACACAAAATAGCAATACGGTTTACACAAGCAGATAAAAGCAAAGACAAAGCTCACACACTTATGATCAGGTTAGCGATGTCTAGCAACATCTTTTCCCGAATGACTGTGTTGTTCCTTGCTAATTTGCACAAGCAACCAGACTGCATGCTCTCCCCTGATCGCCCGTTGCTATGTCAGACATCAAAATGGCACAGGGACTGTTTCAAGAAACGTAGTTGGAAAGCAATAGAGTCAAATTTTCAGGAGACCTTTTTTTTTCTTTTTTTTTCTTTTTTTTTTACAATAATCGCAATACCTTGGTATTAAAAAGCAAAACATAACCGCCGAAAATCACATTTTTGTGATTTAATTCCGCGGTTTCTCCATACATGTGACGTCAGACTACAGCAGAATCGGGGATGTTTCACTTACTTTAGGTATAACATCTGTGGCTTCTGAAAATGCATTCAAACTGGAATCAGTTGGGCACTTTTCTCGTGAAGTTGCGCCGGTGGGAGTTTTCTAGTGCCATTTTGAAGGCTAAAATAAATTAGAATTCTCTTTAAGAATTGTTTTTCTCCTTGAGTCAGTGGAATAAAAAGCAGTCAGATTAAAAGTTCAGTTGTGTCCTATGAATACTGCCAGTGCGAATCTCGAACCCGATTATTCTACACAGTCCACGCTCGAGACTGAATTCAAACGCCAAATGTGACTCCATATTCGTAAATAGTTTACTTTGGAAAAAGCAAATTAATGTCACATGATCGCGTTTTTATTTGTAGCGAAGAACAAAATCGAAAGGGTTGAAAAGAGCGCTGTGACCTGCCTTAAATTTAAAAAAAATGAGCATTTATTTTTCTGGTTATTAATAATTATTTCGACTTACCTTTTTTTTTTTTTTTAGGTGAAAGCCGTGCAGATTTTGAGAAAAGCAGGTCAGTCCTTCGAAGATTTTTTTCTTTGTATTGAGTGGTTACGTACGCGTTTCAGCTCGTCTTGCTACACTTTCTTAGTCCGGTAACCGGTGTACATGTCAAGGTTTTGTCCTCGGCAGTCGTGCCGTTAGAGCTTTTTAGGTTGTTAACTCCGCGTTCTGTTATCGGGCAACAGGCGAATCAAAAGCGATACTCCTCTGGTCTTGCCAAGATGCAAGACATGCGAGTAACGTGGTTGAACTGAGTTCTTGGATACTATTAATAGTGAAGCGACCCTATGCTGTTAGTGAAAAAGAACAAGGAAATTTACTAAATGAGGAAATTAAACTTAACCACAACTAAGCAGGTCCTAAACAAGAAATACTAATTACCATTTACACTGTATATATGTAAGGACCTGTTTAGGCTAACATGGGAAAATGCAGGTTAATACTCGCGGGTTTTTACTACTGTACTTTTGTGAGAGATCTTGCAAGAGATTGAAATTGTCACTAGACATGTTCAGTTTACGCTTCAATCAAATTGCTTTATTTTTATTTCGTTCGAGAAAAAAGGTTTTTTCCGGCTTCCAATAATAACTTTCCGGGAAAAACAGGAAGTTTTAAGTGTGACGCAAAAATGAGCACGTACTGTGGGTTTGCGGACGGTCCTGACAAAAGAGGTATTATAGTCACACCCTATTTCACGCCAAGTTTAGTAACAGCTAGCCATGAAATCTTCAGAAGCCTCTTCATTCGCTCTGGTTTACTTCTTTACACTATGTCTTACGGGTGAGTGTGTTTTCCTTTTAGCGTTTTGACTGGCTGAGCTTTGTCATAGTCTAGGAAGGCTAAGTTTAGCCAAACCGAAGTTAAACAACGTTTAACTAAAACGTGCCTAACAGAAATTAGCGACCTCGGAAAATTGTATGGTTACCCGGCACGAGTTCTAAGCTTAAGACTCAAACACTTTAATTTAAAGTAACAAATACAATGAAATAGTTTTAGTTAAGTGCTTTACAAAATATTTCTCACTCTTTCAAAGCGTTCTTGTAGGTTCGATGCTCATATACGCGTGTTAAAGTGACAAACTCGGACAGAGCGATTAATTATTATGCGCTCGAGAGAACCGGCCGCGGTTTGCATGTGTACATGTAAAGCCCTGATAATCACTGTGTTTTTTTTTTACAGGTGACTCGTGCAACGTATCTTACTATAGCGTTCAAGAAGTTAACGTCAGTGTTGGAGAAGTGGCTGATATGTCTTTCTGCCGACCAAACGATACCAGCGAGTGTTTTAGATATTATCGTGTAACGAAAGATTGGAATAAAGTAATTTTCACATTGAACGCAGGATCCGACAAAGCAAACTGCAATGCAGGCGAGAGCTTCTGCGAGCGGTCAAGGTTTTACAAGTACAATGCATCGCGTTTATTGCTAAGTATTAACGAGACCAAGTCAAACGATGAAGGGTCCTATGAAGTTCACGCTAAATTCAAGAGTGTTTGCCGCGATTACTTTGTTAATACGACGTTGCACGTGATACACCTGAAAGTCGACGGTGAGTGAGACAGTTTCTCTATTAGTTAGTTTGTTGTTTGATTTTTATCAATCGCAGGGTGCACAATTACATGACAAAAATAACGATCAGAGTGAGGATTTTTGATTCGGCTAGTTTTTATTGAAAGCATATTATAATTTTAAATTACCATCTACAGTGGAACCTCGACATAACGAACCTCTGTAAAGAAGTTCTCTGTATATGTACGAACTTGAACGCCGAGTTTTTCAGTTTACCCAGTAATAGTAAAAGAACGTCGATATAACGAAACCTCGGTATAGCAAACAAATTTTGGTAGTCCCTTGGCCCTTCGTTATATCGAGGTTCCACTGTATTCCAAAGTGAATACAAGAAGAAATCAAATAAATAGAAACTCAATGTCCTAATCCAAAGAACTTAAATCACGCTGGACGTTTTTAGTTTAAAGTTTAAAATTTAAAGAAATATGGAATGCTCTACGCAAACTGTTTGAATCTTTTGGCGTTTAGTTTATTTTATTTTATTCCCCCTTTTTTCAGAAAATTCAACGACTTCTCCAACCTCTGTAATGTCAACCAGAGTTTCAGATCCAACCAACGGTAGGAACTGTTTAGTGTTGTGGCGTTCGTTTCAGACGCTATAGCGTCTCCAATCAAGAGTATCGAGCCACTTCTTTCCATGGTCAGATCGATGCAAGCCAGATAGTCAAATAATTCAACAATATATAGTTAGAACGTTTCACGAGTCTCAGAAGCCACGAGTAGTTGCAAGGGCATTACTCCTGTGTATACCACGTTCTTTAAGGTAATAAGAAGCCAAAAGAGAGTGCTTCACACAAAAACTGTGGAACGATTTGACTGATAAAATGAGAGACGACCTAGTCTGGAACGATCTGACCATAGAACGAAGTGACCGTAAACCCTAATCAAGATATTAGTATTGTCAAAATTACTTCGTGGATATTTTTAGTTTGTTGTGACAGTCAGAGATAGTTACTTCTGAACAGGATTAGGGCCTACCGTACATTAAGCCACTTGAATGAATAGATTGTTGTGTGTGTGTGTGTGTGTTTTTTTTATTTTTTTGAAGGAATTTGATGGAAGTGAAGCCCGTTCTTTGTTGGAGGTTTGAAGAAAAAGCATTTTCCACCTTTTGGGGCTGTCAAATTTTATGTTAGACGAATTCAAAGCTCCTCCTAAATCGCTACTAACACCAACAAAATAGAATATTACACTGGTTCGAGAGGCTCGTCAAGTATAAATTTATAAGTTATATGTGTGGTACAGAGTCTGTTCCTTAATACGTCCTACACTCATTTGTCTTCGCAAACTAATCGGCTGATTATTGGATAACGTTTTAAACTTAAATTACAATTTTAAAAAATGGAAAAACACGGATATTTTAGAACCTGGAGACTTAGAGAAGTCTTTCAAGTTCAGCCAAGCGCCTGAATCGATTTGAGTAGGTAGGAAGACCGAAAAAAACGAGCCAAGTCTTGAGTCATCATAGTCATTAGTCAGGGTTGTAAGCCAGCCATTTTTTTCCTTTTAGGCCCAAATTGTAGAAAGGGGATAATATGAACTCTTTTTTAGGAGCCTTTCACTTGACTCCATAGCTACTTAAGGCTTTCAAAATTAAAGTGTTGGCCAATTCCTTATTATAAGTTCGCTCCCAGAATAAGACAAAAACAAAACAAAACAAAAGATAAAGCAAAGCAAAGCAAAGCAAAGCAAACAAGGACAAAACTGTTTACTAGATGCTATTTTAACAGCGGCTCCTCCAAAATTACGACTTTTTAACCTATATGATCAGATTCTACCAGGTAATCAAAGTACATAAACAAAGGGGATCCCTTTGCATCTTCTTGAAAAACCAAGATGGCGTTCAACGATAAACGGAGTTTCCAAGTGAATCATGTGCCAATTTTACACATCACCTCGACAGACATTCTGTAGGAACGTAGCTGTATTAGGTGCAATTTCACGTCTTTTTAATATTCGATTACATGAGCTCATTTGAACCCATTTTTTTTGTTAAGTCCGTTCTTAATTATTTAAAGACGGCTACGTCCTTGGTAGTCACTAGACTGTGTGAGTTGCCTTCCGAACACACTCGTTTTCTCAACCTGCACATCTGCTTGCACGGCTGGTTGTAATTGACCTCACAAGCAAATTGGTAGTACGTAGGTACCATCTGCAAATCCCTAGTAAACAAGAAGTAACATGAGATGGTTCATCCTGACCTTTCCAGTGGTTAATTTTCTTGACCCGTTTTAACCCTCGGACGTAACGGGGTGGTGGTTGCCCCCCCATCATAAGGCTTTTCTGATTTTGTTTCCTAGACGATAAAACATCGGCACCTGAAGTTTTCTGTAGCTGTTCGTTCTCCCCTCGGCTTAGGTGTACATTTTCTTAGTTCATTTGATCTTTTCATTTTTAATTTTGTCAGTTTTAGTACAGTCGCAATTTTCTTTTTCCTATGCAGTGCCCTACTGAAAACCACATTTTGTGACAGAGCTAGCCATCTGTAAAAAGAACTTTCTTGTTCTTGTTCTTGTTGTTGTTCTTCTCGTTCTTCTTGTTCTTCTTGTTCTTCTTCTTGTTATTATTATTATTATTATTGTTATTATTATTATTATTATTATTATTATTATTAAAAACAGGCCCTCGATTTAATCTCCTTTTGGGATCTATTTGCAGGATCACCCCCATCCACTTCTCCAACGACGTCCTCTGCTGCAAACTTTTTACCGAGCTTTCCAATGGTAAATATGCTTTTTGCATGTTTTCTATTAGTTGAGATAATGTGACTGATACTCGCGGTCTTTAAGAATAATAAGTAGTTCTTAGATGATTGAGAGTGTCTTCCAATTCATGAGCAGCTAGATAGACAATAGGCTCGATTAACGGCCGATTTGTGCTCCCACATTTCCTTAGGCTTAAAATGGGAGGAGGCCGAAGCAAACTGGACTCCCTCAAATGCCTGAAAATGGACACCAGCTTCGTCCCCAAGCCAGTTCGCGCCAAACAGGCTTGAAAGTTGACATCGTTTCCGAAATCTCGGAGGACGACTGAAGAATGAGGTTGCAGTCGACCCTAGGAAGACAATGACAGAGATACAACAAGAATGATTCTTTGCATTTTTCAAGAATTCATTAGTGATGTAACCTTTCCGGTTTTTCTTTTTAGTACTTTGATAATCATGCCGTTATGCCAAAGTTCTTTGTGGTTTATTTTTTTTAGCATTTTTGGCATAATTTCCAAAAGCAGGAAGGTTTTTACCAGGCAGGGAGCAGACAGGGAGCAGTATACAAGATCAAATGCTGCGACTGCCAGGCTTCTTACAGTGATGAAACCGGCAGAAACCTAAGCACGCGCCTGACCGAACACAAACGAGCGACGAGGAATGGTGACGTCAACAATCACTTTGCTGAGCACCATTTACGGACGAAACATCAATTTGACTGGGACTCTGCGACATGTATAACGTATTCTACAGACTACTATCAACGTCTTACTTTAGAAAGCTGGTTTACTAACTTAGAACAAACTCCACTGAATCGTAGTCAACAGTTACCAGCGCCGTACAAACGACTTATTGACAAGATCAAGTAAAACTAACTACGAGAGAACGACTAATACTGGAGAACTGACAATTTGCCTAACAATAGACGACTGTTTAACTGTGACAATAGACGGATCGAAACGCACCAATCACGATCACGAGTCTTCATAGTCAATAACATCACAGCTTAACTGACAGACGACCAATAACATCGCGACGTAATTGACCAATCAGATCAATAACCAGAGTATATACTATCATCAACTGACGTGATACAACTCACTCTGACTCTGAAGATGACTACCGCACAGGTTGTCGAAACGTCAGTCACTGTCAACAACAACAGTCCTATTCAGGACTACGTTTACCCGGACGATCAAACTCAACCTACTTTTGAAGGTTTTTACCGCCGCCTGGTTCAGCTCAGTTGGAATAGCGTCGGTCTGCTGAGCGGGCTGTCGCGGGTTCAAACCGCGGCCGGACCAACACTCAGGGTCTTAAATAACTGAGGAGAAAGTGCTGCCTTTGTAATGACATCTGAAACGGTTAGACTTTCTAGTCGTCTCGCATAAGAACAAAAAACCGTAGGTCCCGTCTCACGGCACTTTCATATCTGTTTTTTTTGTGGGACGTAAAAGAACCCACAAAAGAGTAGGGAAGGTAGATCCCGGTGGTGTGGCCAACCTTTCCTTGTCTGGATGGGTTATCTGTAAGGACAAATCTTAATATAGGGATAACCTTATGATCCTCTTTCCGGTGTCGTAATGGCTACCTGTAAACAGGGTGTCAGAACTAATGAACTTAAAAAAATGGACACTTCTAGCCTGACATTAATACCGCAAAGTTCAAACAGGTTTTCAGTGCTATAGCCAGTACTTTTCGTTTGGCCTAAATGCATCTTCGACATACCTTGTTACAATTTTTTAGTTATACAACCACGTAAATTTTTGATTTACTAAAAATTATATATTCTCTTTTTCCAGGGATTTCTTGGATGTTTTGGAGCGCCTTTGATGGTTCCTGTGTTTGGTAGCCTGAACATGAAGGAAGAGTTTGTTTCTTAGGTCTGAGAAAAAGGCGTTTAAAAGAATAAAAATAGGTTGATTTATTTTCTGACAACGTTGGTAAAGAGGGTGGAACGGAATTTGCCGCCCAAAAAGCCTCATCGTTCATGATTTTGTTTCGTAAAAATTACAGTCCAACCTATTGTTTTTGTTAAGTAGATCGTCACGATATGTTAGCTTTTCGTTTTGGAGTATGTCTAACAGATTGAACCGACCTTATCTATTGGTTTCGATTAGAACTAATGGTGAAAAGGCCTTGCTGTGAAAACTATCGCGGCGCTGTCTTGAGGTTTGCGAAGATGTTTGCGCTGTTAGTTATTATTCAAGACAAAATTGAAAAAATCGCCTTTTTCGTCTAATTGTTACAATAAAAGGCACTACATAGTAATTTTATTCACTAGTGGAATGTAATACACGTATTTGCAGTTAATAATTAGAAATAAATATTTTATTAGAAATCTTCCTCGTTGCTTTAATGTTTTTACTTTTTGGTAGCCCAACTACAGATTAACCTCCAGAAACCGTGATTATTAGGATGATTATTGTTTTGATCATCATCATCCATCATCATCTTCTTTATCATTATCGTCATTACAGTCATTGTCTACGTCATCATCATCAACAACTCAGCATCTTGATGATCAGCGATACAATAAAAGACGTTAAGAATGAAAAAGAGCTACAAGTTCGGGACAAAAAAAACTGACCTTTTTAGTTTTATTGGTTCATAATTTAAGCTGGGAAAAACTGGAATAACTTGAAAGAGTTGACGTTATTTATTATTATCAGGGGCGTAACCAGCCCACAGACCTGTAGGCCCGGGCCTACAAATTTTGATTTGATCATTCTACCGCTTGTAATAAATTATGCGTTTTGGGGGTGAGCTAAAAAGCTTAAAGTTGATGTTACACGAGACGATTCGAAACACAGCGTTGCAACATTGTTGCGACATTGTTTAGAATTGTTACAACATTGTTCCAACATTGCAACGCTGTGTTACCCAAAGAATCGTCGTTGCGAATCGTCTCGTGTAACACAGCTGTGTCTTTGTAGTCAAACGTAGCAAAAATTTACCTGTCATTGCAGGTAAATTTTGCCTTGCCTTCCATGTCGATTCCATTATTAAAAAAAAAAATTCTGCATTTCAGATCTCCTCAGAATATTAGTATGGTTGCTATGCTACTTTCATTGTTCCCTAATATTAAAAATTCTGATCTTTGATTTATAGATATATATCAGTTTACAGAAGTTAAACATGTTCGAATAGCAGAATTTTTTTCATTAGGGTTTCCTGGAAAATCAACCCATTTTGTACTTTGCATTAGGATAAATTCATGTAATTAGTGGGTGAAAGGATGCCCGTGATCGGAGGTTGGAGGACAATATCAGGACAAATTGTTTAAGATTCATTTGGTCAGGGGAAGTGTACTGACACCCTTCAAAAATAATTATAATATTATTATAGGAGATGGCACAATTTAGCTGTAATTAAGCAAATGACATCACTTATTAGCCTGCAGTCATCCACTGCCACACCTATTTCCAAATAGGGTGAACACGACACCTACACAACTTTGTCTACGCTGCCTGAACAATAGCAACCTCAGTTCAATCCCATATCCTTTTTAAAGCCGGGGCACTTGGTTCTAGTTTACTCCAACCAAATGAAGATTGAATATATCTCATTACATTATTACATCCGCTGCTGAAACCCACCCTCTCCACTTACGCAATTTACTATTTCTCTCCTTCTCTCCCATCTCTAACATTTTAGGGGGGCCTCTTCCCCCAAGTTTCGCGAGGTTCTGCGATACACGTATTTCTGGTTATCATTATTGTTGTTATCA